CGAGGTGAGGGCCTGCGGCGGCTTCCTGTCGGGCTGGTCAGCAGCAGATGGAGGCGGGTTAAGGACGCAGGTTAAGTCTATTTAAGTCGGCGGCTGCAGGCGCTGACTGCTAACCTTCTCCGGCCTCCTCCTGAATCCACCAATCACAGGTCGCCTTCCCCGGCCAGTCGCTCCTGGTTACATAACGGCCTGTCCAGGCTCTAAGCAGCCATTATGTAATAATTAGCCAGCTTCATTAGCGTCCTGCGGCTCCTCGTGGTGGAGCGCTGCCGCCGGCACCTGTCCTCTCACCGGCGCTGCCATGGCGACCAGAGCAGCTGACCTTCATCTGCCCTGTGATGGTCCTGCGCTGCTGCACGCGCTCAGTCGGTGCCGCCATGGGCCTGCAGAGACCAGGACCTCCAGATGTTGGGCTGAACACACATCGGCAGGAAGACCAGGGTTGGGCTGATCCAGGACAGGTTCACCATAAATAAACGATTCGTCGATTAGCTGTCAGCCGCTAATTAATCTGAACTACTGTGATCATTTCCAAAAGAGTTTTAAGGAGAATGAAATCAAAACGTGGTGCAACCAGACTCAGAAGCTGGAATCAGCTGCGTTTAGCCTCACGTTGGATCTAATGCTTCATCAAACAGCATCGCTGACGCTTTGACACTTTGATGAAGCAGAAAACTGATCAAACGTTAAATAAATGTTTCCCCCCAAATGTCTCACATCTACACCTGCACCTGATGCTCTATGGTCTCCAGTGCGCTTCCTGAAGGGGGCGGGGCCACAGCTCAAGGCTCATGGTTGCTTTATTTTGGAGGACATAGTTTAGGATATCTGCTGCTCCAGACACAATAAAACCTCCACAGCTTGGGTGCAGCTGCAGCTCACCTGGCCTAGCAGGTGCAGGAGCTATAATGTGGAGGTCAAATCCTGCTCGTGGCCCTTTTCTGCAAGTTCTCCTCCATTTTCTCTCTCTCTCTCTCTCTCTCTGTCTCTCTCTCTCTCTCTCTCTATCAAGCAAAGTCAAAAAGGCCTAAACAATAAATGAAAAAGCTAAATAACTAAACCTCTTCAGCTCTTGGTTCCTGAAGGCCTCCCTGGTGGTTAGTTAGCTTTAGCGCTACCTGCTCACCTGGCCTGGCTGCTCAACCCTGACCCGTGTCCTCGTCTGTCTGCAGGTCTCTGCGCAGTCTGTCCCGCCGCTCGGTGGAGGAGGAGTTTCCTCACCTGTACGCTCACGGCTGCACGCTGCGCGACATCTGCGCCGAGTGCACCAAGTTCGTGGCCGACGTCATCTCGTCGAGCCGCCGCAGCCTGGACATCCTGAACAACACGCCCAAGAGGGAGGCCCGGCCCGCTGCTGGCTCTGCTGCTGCTGGTTCTGCTGCTGGTTCTGCTGGTTCTGCTGCTCCTCTGAGGCCTCAGCTGCAGCGTCAGGCCAACCTGGAGGCCTTCCCTCCGCGGCTCCACGCCTCGCCGTCCTCCTCCTCGCCGCCGCCGCACCGCGCCGAGACGATCAGCGACCAATGACACTTTACCCAAACCACACTGTGCACACTTTCACAGGACAGTAGGTTCTGTAAGGGTTCTCTGAGGGTTCTCTGAGGGTTCACGCACAGCAGATGGATTCCAGACCAGAGTAAACGAACCCAGAGCTTCTCTGACTGCTGCTGGCGGAGCGCTGATGGTTCTAAACTGTCCTCTGAACCCTGTCCAGTGAGATCTTAGCACCTCCTCCTCCTCACCCGTCCTCATCCCCCCCTCACCCACCACAGACGCACAAACGCTCATTCAGAAGGCCGAGTAAGCATGACTTCCCCTCAGAGCGGCGGAGGTGGAGGCGGAGGTAGCATCGAGCCGGCGTTAGCATCCTAGCTCCCTGTGGTTGCCTTGTTTTGTCATGAATGTAACTTAGAGAATCGTAACAGCTTGTACACAGCGTTTATGTTCAATCATTAGAGGAGGAGCTGCTGCTGCTGCTGCTGCTGCTGCATTACCAGGAATCTGATTTGCTAACTCGTGCTTGTGAAGTGGGCCGGACGAGGCCGGACGGCGGCGGCGACACTGTGAATGTACCCGGGGTGGAGCTGCACCTTCAGACCCACCATGGAGCTCCTGCCTCTTCACTCCCCACAGACGCTTCTGCAACCTGCTCTGGTTTTGTAAACACAAAGTAAACCTGAGCTGCAATAAAACCTGCTGACAGACACGAACTCGGCCTGCGTCTGAGTCTCACTGTCACAAAATAAACTCCATAAAACATGTCAGATGTAGGAACGTAGAACGTGTGGAGAAGGAAGCAGGGAGGCTGTCCTCTGATCAGGATGGAATAAAACAAAGAAGAGAACAACTTTAGTTTGACCTCTGAACCCCAAAACCTTCAGAAAGCCACGCTGTCAAGTCAACCGACAGTTTATCAGAGCTGAGCTTCAGATTATTTCATCAAAATATCAGATAAATATATAAAAATAAACATCTGCAATCACTAGATTCTGCTGTTTGAGCTCTGAAGGCCAAAAACTGACGGTTTGAGAGGTCGTCTGTAAAATATAACGAACCTTAAATTAGATTATTTCATCTGAAACACACAAAGAATCACCGATCATATAAAACCTTCTGCTCAGTGGGACCTCTGCTTCATGAGAATCACTTTAAAAATGTCCACATGATGTAAAAAAGCAAAACGTCTGCTCTCGTTAGCCCAACGCTGACCGACTGAGCTGGAGACGAACTGAAGGATGGAGCGTCTGATGGTCGCATCCGGAGAACGGTGCTCAGCTGGATGCCATCTTTAAAAAGTGTTGTAAATAAATAATCAAAGAAATTCAGCTGTTTGTCGTCTGCTCTGACTGAAGACGTCTCTGAGTTCCTCCTTCATCTGGTTCTGGTTCTGGTTCTGGTTCCTCAGAGCTGCAGGACTTCAGAGAAACCTGAACCTCAGTGAGTTAAACGCCCCGCTGAGGTTCATGTGCTGAACCTGAACCATCCATCCATCATCTCTACACCTTCATCCTCACTATGGGGGGCGGAGTCTATCCCAGCTGACTCAGGGTGAAGGCAGGTTCACCTGGACAGGTAACCAGTCTATCACAGGGCTACACTTAGAGACAGACAACCAAGCACACTCACATTCACACCTACGGACAATTTACAATCACCAATTAACCTCAGCATGTTTCTGGACTGTGGGAGGAAGCCGGAGAACCCGGAGAGAACCCACGCTGCACGGGGAGAACATGGACACTCCACGCAGGAAGATCCCGGGTGTCCTCACCGGGACGCCAACCGGAGACCTTCTAGCTAACGATGCTAATGATGCTAACCACGAGACACCTGCAGGCCTAAATGTACACATGCACATTAAAAAACAATCATAATTAAAGGATAATTCTGCGTTCTTCCATCCTGATGTGATGATGAGTCTGTTTTACGTTAATTCTCTGTCGTAGAGATTCGGGACAATAAGAACAAAGCTACATGAAGCTGTTGTTGGGTTTGTCATCTGCAGATACGATAACATTTGATCTGGAAAGCAGCTTTAAAAACAGACACATTTCTACAATAATCATGTTAAATGTGTGTTCAGTCTCTAATCACACACCGCGCTGCCTGCTGATGACTGGACATAAACCACAGCCGTCCTGTGACAGAAAGACCAAAAGATTTAAACACCTTGAACCTGTTGGCTGGTATGAAGCTGAACGTTGGATCCGTTTAACAGATTCTTTTGATTAAACTTCACTAATTAACCAGAGCGTCGTGCTGCAGGTTAAACCAGAAACCACGAAGATCTGACCTCCTGTCCGAGTCGGTCCGGGTCGGTCCGGGTCGGTCCGGGTCGGTCCAAGTCGGCGCTTCGTGTCCAGTTATTGCAGCATTCAGGCTGCAGCAGCTTTTCATAGAAAATGAATGAACCGACCTCCTGATGCAGCACCGAGCAGAGAGACGGCGATGAGGTCAGAGCAGCAGCGTGAGCTCTGCATCAGAGACCGCTGATGGTTTTATTCATCACTGCTGCTGGTCGTCCACGTTGGTTCTCTAATTAAGTAGAACGTCATCTATTCTGTATTTACTACGTGTAAAGTCAACGTCATGATGAAACAGCTCAGAAGAATCCAGGATGTCAAGTTCTTAGAATGCTTCCTAACATCAGTCATTAAAAACAGCATTCTGAACACAGAAATGTCTGAAATGTGAATTCATCCACTCAGTACCTGGTTCAGGCTCCTTCACCTTGAATCACTGCCTCAGTGGAGGTCAGAGCAGGTAGCAGCTGGACCACCAACAGAACCACCTCAGAGTTCAGCAGACTGAACAGGAGGGGAACTCATTTACATATTTACATATAAACACTTTACAAAATTCATCACATTTGTGTTTAAACTCACTACAATAAACCTGGTAACACGGTCGCTGCTGCCCTCTCAGCTGATTCATGACCGACATAAAACCACCGAAGGTCTCCGTTTAACCAGTTCTTGGTGTGTTTTCGGACCAGGTTCCTCCTGATGTCTCACCTGTGTGTCGTCTGATGTCACGTTTCAGCGTCCAGGCATATTTAAATCTTCACCCACGTGCTGCACAGGTGAGACCTGTCACCTGTGTGGCTTCTCATGGGATTCAGTTTTAATGACACATTTCACTACTTTAATTGGAGGTAAACACCAGGTTAAAGGTTAAATCTCTGTTTTTGACTGAATGTTGGACTAAAGATTCAAACATTTAGCCTGAAGCTAACGAACCAGTTTATGTAAAAGTTCACATGATGTTGTTTGATTACATTATTTAGACTCAGATCAACTTTATTGATCCACCAGGGGAATAGTTTATTACCTTTAAATCACATATTTAAATATTTGAAGTAAAGATTAACAATAAATGAAGACAAAGATAAGGATCAGACTCAAGCTAACTGAGCTAGCAGATAAGAATTAGCCTTAAGCTAGCTAAGCTAGCAGATAAGAAGTAGCCTCAAGCTAGCTGAGCTAGCAGATAAGAATTAGCCTCAAGCTAGCTGAGCTAGCAGATAAGAATTAGCCTTTAGCTAACTAAGCTAGCAGATAAGAATTAGCCTTTAGCTAACTAAGCTAGCAGAGTCGCTGTAACGGCAGCTTGATGTGATTTTATTTGACTCATTTTAATGCTCCGACATATTTCTGTTTTTTTGTCTCACAGTGATGCAGTTGACTCTAATCATTAACACTGCTAAATGCTAAGTAACCTAGCTTAGCCTAGTTTAGCAGAATAGCTGTAACCTTTGGCTCTGATTCTAAAGAAATTCTCATAATTTTGATTTAGCTCACTTTAAATCACATTAAACTATTTTAATAAAAGTATTAAATGATCTTTTCCTAATATGAGTGCTTTATTGACATTTTTTAAACTCATGACAAGATAGTAATTAGCCTTAAGCTAACTAGCCTTGATTAGATTACCTTTTTATAAATAATACTGTTTAAATAAAGAGAAATATTAAATTATGCATTAAATTAGTTTGTCCCAACAAGAGTTCTGTACAGACAAAAGACAATATTTAGCTTTGAGCTAACTAGCCTAGCCTAGCATGGCAGAGAAGCTGTAAATGCAGCTTGACTGTCCTTAAATTCATTTTATTTTATTCATCTTATTGCTCCAACATATTTAATTTGTTGATGTCACATTGATAGTAAAGCATTTAAATCTAATTATAACACATAAAAACAGCAGATAAATTAGCACCGCTGGAAGCTAACTAGCCTACATTAGCAGCTGTGACCTTCACCTCTGACCCTTTGATTGCTTTTAATTATTTAAAATGCTGCAGTTGAACTAGTAATAAATCACTTTATTAACCTCTGGCTTGTTTGGAGGTTTTCTGTTTGGCCTCTAAACTTTGTGTTATCGTCCCTGTTTGTGGGTTTGTTGTCGTGTGACGGTTTACGGCAGCAGATCCATTAATAGAGCGTCCACAGCCATGGACTTAATAAGGCTTTGTCCCAGTCATGGATCCATAAAGCCTGTGTGGGCGCTCTGCCGGCTCATCATGAATAAATAATCTACAGGTCTCCAGTCCATTGGCTGCTGCTGCTGCTGTGATCCAGATCCACAGACCTGCAGGAGCTGCTTCATCCAGGCCAGTCAGGAAGGACCAGGATTAGCGTTCACAGTAAGAGTGCCTGAGCTTCACGCTGCTTCCTGGTCCGACTGGACTCTCACCAGAACATCCTCCTTCACGGTCTTGAGCTCATGTTGGTTTTGTTTTAGCTCCACGTGGCTCCATTTTGACAGAATAGATCAAAAATCGTCTCATCATAACTGAATCTTAGTAAATTTATACATTAATCACAAATTCTCCACATTTTATTTCAGACTTTTCACTTTTTTTCTCCACTCTTTACCTTCTGACTCACATTTGTCACATTTTTTTGGAACTTCTTGATTCAGGAAGTGAAGGTTCTGAGTTTTTTGCTTCATAAATTTGAGTAAAAAAGTCCATTTTCTGAATTTTCTTTGTCTTTTTTAGCTTTTCTCTCTGAGTTTTGAGTAAATAAGTCCAAGCTTTGACTTTTAACACAGTTTCTGTTATTTTTCTACTTCATAAGTAAGAATTTGGAATTTTTCTCTCTTATTTTAGACTCAGTACGTCAGTATTTTGACTTTTCACCCAAGTTTTCATTTTTTTAAAAAACTCTTCAACCTGAATATTCTGAGTTTTAACTTGTTGAGTTAAACTTTAGACTCAGATTAATTACTTTCTTCTTACTTTTTGACAAAGTGAATTAAAATTCTTACTATTTGACTTAAAAAATACCTGATTATTATCTTTTTTAAATTTTATTTTACTTTTATTCATATATATATATGTATATTTTACTTCTAGACTTGGTGACTTGAAATTCGAATGTTTTCCCTCATAATTTAAAAAAACAAACTACTTCTTTTTTAAATTGCTTTTTTACTTACCAGAGACAAACGACCAGGTTTTTCTGGAGTCACATTTTTGACTTGAGGTTTTTGAATTTTTCACTCTTCCTTTTGATTTGTCAGCTCTCTATGTTCACCCTCAAAATATTCACTTTTGTCACTTTTCAGACTTTTCACTCAAATATTTGACTTTTTCTAAAAAAAACTTTTTTGACTTCAGTAAAAATAAATCTCATAACTGTAGCTTCAAACTTTTGACTTGTGAATTTATTTATTTGTTTGTTTGTTTTTCAGCACTTTTTGACAGTGAATGAGTTCTGTGTGATGCTGGTTTTAGTCATAAATGAAACTGGTTGTTTTCCACATGTTGTTTTCGTTACTCTGTGTTTTATTTTGAAAGGGCGCGGCGGGCCCGTCCGCTCTCACTGCGTCCAGCTTTGCGGTGGAAGTTGTGCAGCTTTAGCGCCTTAAACTCGACAACAAGCCGAGCGGGGCTGGCCCATCGCCGCCAGTTGTTCCGTTCCGGTGGCCTCCCTGCTCCCCGGGGCTCCCTCGGTGCTCTCCCCCCCTCTCCCCGCAGGCACGGCGGCGGTGGGTGTGTCGGTGCCGCGGGCCGGAGCTGCCTCCCGTCGCCGCCTGAGCGCGCGCTGAAGAAGAGAAAAGTTGTGATGAGTTCAGAGTGACGCGGCCCGGAGCAGCACCGTCCGGGATGGCAGTCTGGACCCGAGCGGACAAGAACGGCCAGCTGGACCTCCTGCTCCGCGACCGCTGGATCCGAGTGGCCGCCGAACTCACCCGAGAAACGCTGACTTTGACGGCCGAGGCGGAGGCGGCCGCGCCGGGGGCCAACCACTGGGACTACGGCGGCTCCGCGGCGGGCCTCCGAAATGGCATGTCGAACGGAAACGACCCGGGGGCGAGTCCGGGGGCCCGCGGTCCGCCCTCCGCCCCGGACCCGCTCCAGAACCAGAACCAGAACCACGGCGGCCGGGGGCGCAGCGGCAGCCCGGGGCGGGGGGGCGGCAGCCGGGCTCCGTACGACGGCGGCGGCGGCGGCGGCGGCGGCTACGCGCTCAGCAGCCCCGGGAAGTACCCGAATAACGGCTCCGACTTCGGCAGCCCCGGGTCCAGCTACGGCAGCCCGGGCTCCAGCTTCGGGTCGCGGCAGGGCGAGGACGGCTCGTCGGAGGCGGTGCGGAAGGTCCGGGTGGTGAAGCAGGAGTCCGGCGGGCTGGGGATCAGCATCAAGGGGGGCCGCGAGAACCGGATGCCCATCCTCATCTCCAAGATCTTCCCGGGACTCGCCGCCGACCAGAGCCGGGCGCTGCGGGTGGGCGACGCGATCCTGTCGGTGAACGGAAACGACCTCCGGGAGGCGACCCACGACCTGGCGGTGCAGGCGCTCAAGAAGGCGGGCAAGGAGGTGACCCTGGAGGGTGAGTAGCGACGCGAGGGCGGGGATCGGAGCAGGCCGGCAGCGCGGGTCCGGCTCCTCTCCGAACCCGAACTCGAACCCGGTTCGTCCGCAGTGAGCGTGTTGTCCAGAGTAGTTCGGTGAGTCCGTCACATGCTGAGTCCAGGACGTGGTGCTGGAGGCGCCTCGTGACCGTTTAATTCGTCCAGCGTGGAGCACATTAACCAGAACTCTCTGGACTGGGACCACATGTTCTGCTGGGTTCTAACTTTGTGACCCTCAGAGATCAGAGCAGAGGAGCCCATCGGAACCACAGAGCTCTGATCAGAGCAACAGGTCTGTGGACGGGTCCAGCAGCAGTCTGACCATCTGACGGCTTCGGGTCAGGACCAGAACCAGTTTGTGGTCATCGGTCAGTCTGGGTCCGTTTGAGAGGAAGAAACGTCAGAATGTTCTCCTTAAAGTGATCTTTTCTGCTTCTGTCCTCCTCTGTGAAACTGCACTGAGTGTTTTTGGACAGAACCGGGTCACAGACCAGAGGTCGGGTCCGTTAACAGCAAATAATCAGCAGATGAGTCGTTGGTCTGAACTCAGAGCAGCTTTCTTCTCATTTATCTTCTCGTTTACCTTCTCGTTTATCTTCTCATTTATCTTCTCATTTATCTTCTCTGTGCTTCATGTTTATCTGCAACATAAAGTCCTGCAGAGCAGCATGAAGAAGAAGAAGAAGAAGAAGAAGAAGAACTCAGGAGGATGGAAGTCAGAGAAACATCCAACCTTCAGCTGGACTTACTGGTTGCTGACCTGCTGACCTGCTGACCTGTTCTGTGGAAACACTTCCTGCAGTTCAGCTGAAGTCTCTGATTTTTAGTCTGGGGTCCGTTGGGCCCAGCCGGGTCACTCACAGCTCCTCGGTTCGTTGAGAAATGCAGAATTTTTATTTTTAATATAATCTGGTTTTTAGCAAACAGGTGATTTATTGCTTTTTGTTGAAGGATGTGATTGTTGTGATTCTGAGCTCTGATTGGACGGTTAGTCGGACACTCAGTGGTTCTGTTTCCAGTCGGTGGTTCTGATGAGGTGAATGTTAACGTGTCAGACGAGCCGGCTCAGACGGATCAGAACGATGACATCGTTTAACAAACACCTTTTACAAACCGAACCGCCTGTCAGATGTCACTCAGTAATTAACCAATTAGCGACCGGTCCGTCCTTCAAGGCTCTGAGGCGCCTCTGGGACCCGACTGGACAGAACCTTCTGTGCCTCCTGTTGGTTGTGACCATTCATAGGACAGAACTGAAGCAGAAACCAGCTGGGCTCAGTTCCCAGCAGAGTCCAGAGGTCCAGGACCTGGATGAAGACGGAGAGGAAAGTTCTGTTCACCCGCTGCTGTCGTGAGCAGAGGTGTTGACATGAAGGTCCAGGAAGGTCTCCATGATCTCCATGATGCAGGAGACCCATCAGAACCTCCACAGCTAGATGTTCTGTTCTGGTTCTGCACCGTCCCTCCACTGAGGTTCTTCATCTGACACCCAGTGTTCAGGATGTGTTTCCTGGAGCAACATGTCAGAACGTTAGACAGTTTGTTCTGATATAGACCGGGTCCAGACCGGGTCCAGTTTGAGCTCACCCTTCAGAACCCTCCAATAGGACATGGTTCCAGTAGTTCTGTATTTAACACACACCGTTTAAACGGTTCTGACTGGTCCTGGATCATGAAGTTCTGATTCGAACCTGATCCAAGAGTCTGACAGCGACCCGGTGAGTGTCGGTGGTACCAGCGGTCTGGACTTTGGATCTCAGAGCTGCAGTGAGGTGAAGCTGAATGAATCTGCTCCATGAACGGAACATTCGCTGTAGATCCTGTTCAGCAGCTGTGAGGAAGTGGGTCGGGGACGGGTTGGGCTCATTATGGGCTGCTCATTATGGGCTGCTCAGGTCTCCATGGAGACGAGCTGCTCTCGTGTAGAAAAGTGGAAAACGAGCAGAGCGCTGCCCTCCGGCTCTGGAAACTGCAGCTGAAGCTTAATGGTTTGGAAGGAGCGCCGGCTGAATGCTGATGTCGGACCCGATCGACACGGTTCCACCCAGCCAGGACGTTCAGTTCCTCCTGGAGCCGACCGGGTCGCTGGTTCAACCTGCGGCTGTTTGTGTTGAAAGGCTTTGACACTGAATCAGACGTGGAGCTTCGCTGGATTCTGGCCTTTGAGCGGCGCCGCGGGCTCAGCGACACCAGCAGGCCCGCGGACGGCTGCAGGTCCTCACAGCTCAGAGGTTCTGCTCCAGGGCAGCGTCTCCACCGGTACCTGGTCACAGATGTGTGAGATCCAGCTGCAGGTTTAGTTCAGCTCAAGACATTTAAGTCTGACTTGTCCTGGATCTGGTTCAAGATACCAGAACTTTGGACGGGTCCGGGTCAGGATGGGCTGGACATGGGGGCTGATAGCTGACATGGTTCAGTCTCTGGGTCTCTATTGATCGATTATTGATGAGTTAAATCTCTCCTTCCTGTCTGTGTGTCGTCACTGTGATCCAGAACCAGAACCAGAACCTGAGAATAAACACAGCATCAGATAGAAAACAACAGCAAGTCACTGAGTAGGACCAGAACCAGTATGGGGGTCAGGAGCCTGCAGGTTGGTTCTGTTGGGATTTAACTGAACATTTGACACATTCTGGATTAAAACTGGACTCTAGTCCGTCTCAGCTCGACCCGGCAGAGTCTTAATGAAGGAAACTAACCGACTCATGTCAGTAGCTACAGGAACTAACTGGTACCAGTAGCTTCATTGTTCTGGTTCTGGTGTCAGATGACAGTCGTTGTCCTTAACACCAGTGTTCTGGATTTATTTCTAATGTTGCCCTTCGTTTACTTTTAATTGTTTGTGTTTTAATTGGTTTACTGGTTTCGGTCCACATGTGTCGCTGTCATGTGACCTCAGAGCGACGACCTTAGATACATGAAAACCCACCAGATCTGATCTTCTGACTGTCCGAGCATCGCTTGGTGTTTCCGTGCGGTTCTGTCGGAGCCTCTCGGCCTGCTGCTGCTCCGTCTGCAGGAATCTGGCGGCTGCTTGTCACTGTTTGTCCGTTTGTGGATTTCCCGCCGCGGTGCGAAGGCGGCGGCCGGCGGCGGGAGCCTCCAGGCCGCCGTGGCGTGTACGCGACACACAGAGATCCTCACAATTAGCCGAGGAGCCCCACATTCCTGAGCACAGGCCACGTTCAGGCCAGAGGTCACCTCATCTCTGGATCACCGTCACAGCATCGCTCAGAAGCTTCCAGCTGCTCCAGCGAGAAGATCTGATGCTTTTCTTTGTCATCACGTTGGACTGTTGGTTACCAGGAGGCTCTGATAGGAGCAGATGGACCTCCGGCTGAAGCAGCCGACGCTGGAGGAGCTGAACGCTCTCGTTTCAGGGATTCAGTTAAACTAACAATCACAGAAAAATACTTTAGTTCATACGTTAGCTACAGAAAACCAACAGATCAGAACTTTACAGAACATCCACACACACAACAACACAGTTTTAAATCAGCAGAAATAACATTTTGTTTTATTTACAGATGTTTGATGAACAAGTATGTAAATGAACAATTTTAAAATGTTTTTTTTTTTGCTGGTATTTCACAGATTTTCCCTGTTTTGCTAAATTAATAATAACCAGTTTAATCAGATTTATGATGTTAATGATATAAAACGAGACACAAACTAAAAGGGTCCACGTCACAATTGTGTGTTTTCATGAACACGGTTTAGTTGTAACGTTAACGTACTTTTATTGTATTTAAATGAGATAACGTCACTTCACACATATTCACTGTTCAGCTGCAGCAGCCTCATACTGGGTCAGAACAGAACCGGCCTTTTGTCTCAGTAATTGGACGAATATAAAAAGCACAAAGCGGCCGACACACACACACACAC